GGAAAGAGATTATCCAGGAAAAGTGATAATGTGGTAGTTTTTCCATTTGCTTTCCACATCTCAGTACAGCAGCCGTTCAAACCACTCTAGTCAGACCTGCTGCTATACGAACTTGAACCATCTCGAGCATCATTTGCTCTGTGCTTCAAGTCGCTACTGATGACGCTGCTTCCGGCATCAGTTTTTGGTGTCTCTCTTCGTCTGATGCCTACCCTTTGACCTGTCCAGCAAGGGAGGCCCTGCCAGTAGCTACGCTACCGCTGGTATAGCTCTCAGGGTCCTTTGCATACTCAAACCCCCTCACCACGATAAGATGCGGACACCAACGAGGGGGAATTAGAATATACAAAACTATAATTCTGTCTCTGATTCTGCTGACACAGCTGTACGAAAATTTGTATCTTGTCTTCGTAATTGCGATCCTACAATATACACTAATAAGGGAAAACTTTGAATGCCCATTCTGTAAAATTATTTGCACAGTTCTGTATCGTGATCAAATTATTTCGAAACAATATAAACACCTGAGTTTAAATTTTATAGAATGAACGGGTGTATTCAATGTTTCCTTTTCTTCTGTATTCTCATCTTATGCCGTCTGAACCACCCCCTTATCATTACAGTAACAATTTTATTATCTGACATTGCAGAAGAGAAGTACACGAAATTGGCGGGCAAACACACCTACTTGCGGTGTTGTGAGCAATTAATCGAACGTTAAGTTTCCTCAGTTTGCGCCTGCTAATTTTGAAACCAGTTGCCTGCTTGTAATCTGTGATACTTCCCGTAAATCGCAGTTGCGTTGCGGTTTCAGATTCCTTGGTGGGCGCCCAGCCCTACACTTCTCCGATATCGCGGTTGCGTTGCGGTATCAAGCTTACTTGGTGTGGACTTTAATCCGTGACTTTGTCTCCGGTTTCGCAAGTTGTGCAATATCACAATATCAATATATGTGTGTGTCGAGCGCTGTGTGAAGGTATAAGCGTTTGCGTAAGAACTGTTTTAAATTTTCACGTGGATCGCTGAATTTCTTGTTACGAACCGGATTGAATATATATTTCCTGGAATTGGGAACATTCTTGTTTTAGTTATGGCGATTCGTGTACAATTTGAAAATAATAATGAAGTTGGAGTTTTTTCCAAGTTAACGAATTCTTATTGCCTTGTTGCAATCGGGGGATCCGAGAACTTTTACAGGTTTGTGTGTGCAGAAAGTGCGAGATTAATGGATGATTGAGATTGAGGGGTGTATGAATACCATGATTTTGTTTTCCACCTGTGTTAAAACAATTAGAATTATTCCAGAATCTGGTTGATGATACTGACATTTTGTAACAGGCAGTCCCAAATTATTAACTGCTTCATTCCAGTGGAAATGAACCATTGCCATGTGAAATACGAGGTTTTCACCGCAATGACATTCAGTCATTGTGGTGACACCATGGGATGCGACACCATTTAGTTCAGTAGATAGGTACAATTGATTTGGTGAAACCTGCCATATGCCCCGAAGATCTAGGCTGTAGGCTTAACAAAACGTTGGTACTTCTTCACCAGACTTGACGGAGTCATATCTCAGAAGACAGTAATGTTCATCTGTTACCAATGTAGCACTTTTTTTCTGGATTCTTTAAATTTAATTGCTGTACTTAATTAAATGCTATGAAGATGCAAGGGGAGTGAAGGAAGAATTCCACATTCTTAAGTGGAAGTGGGTGGTTATCTTTGAATTTTGGCCCCTTTACTGTTGGGTGAAAGTCTCCAGGTTCCCTTTGGACAGGAGGTTATGTGGATCCCATAGCTGGTGTAGATGCAGTGGTGAAGGGGAAACTGCTTTTTTCTGCTGGAATCAGATCCTCGTTCCTTGGTCATCCAGCCTATTGCGTAGCCACTATACTGATTGAGTTCTCTGTGGCATCTTAAATGGAGATTGTGAATACAGTTTGTTTTGGATTTTTCACTGTAAGTGATAGTCTGAAGTATTAAAAACAGCAAAAGATAATGAAACATGTATAGTACTTTAAATTCATTATCTCTAAGTGCTAAATCAGTAGTGAGCTAGGACCATGGTGTGTGTTATATCAATGTTAAGTAATGTTTTCTGAGTGTGTGCAGTATAGTAATTTCAGTGATTTTTATCTCCAAAGGATAGGTATGTACAAAGCCAGAATTTGTAGAATTTCATCCTGAATAGGTGCTTTTGTGAAAATTATACTACTTTCTGTTCATTATATTTGACCACCATCACAACGTAATTTTTAATGGTGGCTTTGGTCCACCACGTTTGAGTTGAGGGAGGTGTTAGAACATTAGGAATGATTTCTGAGTATCTTTTATGACATGTTATGTATAAAAATGATAATCTTAATGGAACACATGTATTTTCTGCAGAATTGATAATTATGGTTAAAAAATACATGAGGTTAGAAAGAAAAAAGAGTTATGAGAAACTTCTTATCAGCTATATATTGAAAATATTATGGCTATTTTGTTTCGGTTACAGGAGCACTAGTGCATTGAACATCAAAGCCAGTAAGATTTCGTAAAAAGATGTGATAAAGTATCTAGCAAAATAATGAAAATCTTCTCACCCTTCATTAATGAAGCTATGTAATGTTACATATGAAGTATGAAAGACCAAATACCGAAGCTTGTGTCGCAGGAATATTCTGTGACTGTATCAAGACTTACTACTCCAGTGATCATAAGATACAGAAAATTGTCTGATATGAATTATGTTAGAATGTACATAGTGATTTGAATTGTACAGGGAGGTGCAAACCTAGGTGACCTGCACTTAATGGTACTTGGAGTGCAGTTTTTCCTGGCCTGTGTGAATGCATTAGCCATGGAGCAGTGTACATAAATTGGGATGTAAGTGCGGATGATGTTTAGAACATAACTCATGGTTTCATAATGAAGGCTGTCTTTGTGCTGAGAGTGCTGCTTGACACAGGTCTCCTCACTAAAAGGAATTTATAATAGTCAGTGGACATGATTTAAGGATGGTTAGGTACACAGCGGAATGTGTATTTCCTGTAAAGTTGTTTCTTTCAGAGAAGAAGTTCTACAAGCCATGTGTACATACATTTTGACATTGCTGTCAAGAGGCTGTACAACCATAAAAAAGGTAAACAAGTGGAAAGAAACAGATTCTGTTCTTGATGAAAAGAAATGATGCCCTAAGCATGCTGTCAGAGAACAGAGACTTGCGGACATTTGACTAAGAATGGAAATGAGTTGATCAGTCTGCTTGGACAAGAAATTAGCATATTGAAAAGTTCCATTTTAAGAGACCTCAGAGCTCTTAGGTTTCATCATTACAAAGTGTCAGTGTGGTCCTTTCCTGGAGATATATGTATTTTTGTTGAATGATGCAATTCTTCCACAACAGAATTGTTAATTCAACACTTTTCTCATGAACAATGAAGCTTTGGTTTTATTTTAATAGTTTTGTGAACACCCAGGACACCTACCTTTGGGAAATCGAAAATCCCCACGGAACATGTGAAGCAGCACTTCATGACAGGAAATTGGATGCATAGTGTGCAGTTAGTGGTCAGAGAATAATTGGGTATAATTCTGTAATAATTTCTAACTCCAACATCTCTAAAGCATCTTGAAGATGTTCTTCAAGAGAATGGTATAAAATTCTGATAGACACTGTTCAAAACTTGTACAAATCCATTTCACCAGTTATGTGCTGCAAGCATTCATCACATACAGGTTGATTGCAGATGTAAAATAATGATACACATAATAATGGGAGTCAGCCTGGCTTTACACCAAAACTAGAGAAAACCAAAGCAGCTGCTAGCACTAGGTGAAGTTAAAATTTGAAATTATGATTTTAAACACAGGCATGTTCGCTCACTCACCCACCCTTCCACCCAAGCATGCACACATGCATGCTCGCTCACTCACTCACTCACTCACTCACTCACTCACTCCCTTGAGAGAGAGAGTGTCATTTTTCCCAGTGATTTCTCTTAAAGCTTGTTGTGTTGCCTGCACATGTTTGGTGCACAGGTAGAAATATGAGGTCCCTACATGGCTGAAATGCTTTCAGATCAGACCAACCAGTTGTAGTGTTGGTGGACCTAAGATCGATTGTCACTTTGCTTGATTATGCGCCACAGAAGAGTATTGTGCAGTGACATGATTTTTGTTGGCTGAAGGTGTAGTAAGGGCAGACGTCTCTTGCAGACCGTTGGCACAATATGGAAACTGCTTTCCACAGCAAAATGCATACAAGTGGATAACATGTTCAAGAATGATCACACAAGTGTCACAGATGAAGAATGATCAGGATGCGCTTCCAAAACAAACTTTGTTTCATAAAGTTTGTGCAAGATGGGTTCCAAAACAACTCACAGGATAGCACAAGCACAACCATTTGACAATCTGCCAAGACATATTGAACTGCTGTTGTGATGAAGGGGACACTTCGATGAGGTGTGGATCCACCATTATGCTCCAGAAAAGGAGCACCAGAATGTGGAATGGAAACATTTGACATCCTCCCGTCAAAAAGATGTTCAGAACTAAACCATCAGTGGTAAAGTGATGTTTGACAAGCCCAAGGGAACGTTTTATTCGGAACACAATAGAACTGAAAGCTGGAAGGAAGGGGATAGTTTGAATTGCAGGGAGCTCATATAGATCAGTGAGAAAACACTATAATCATAATTTGTAATTTCTTAATCTGCTATCACAGACATATTGATTTGGGAAACAATATGTGGAGTCACTGTGATTACCAGATTAGAGGTAAAAATTGTCACCAGAGTGCCCTTCCTGCTGCTATGCTGTTGTTAGACTAGCCTGTTGTTATGCCAAATTAAGCTCCACTTATTACATCCTGCCCAAATATTTCATATTTGTAATTCTGTACAAACAACCTTGGTGATATCATCTTGATAAGAGCATCATGTTGTAATCTATCAAGTTTAATATCTTAGTGTAAATATAGCTGTCTTTCTACAACTTTCAAGTAACTGAGGTTTGGTATGTTTTATGAAGTTTATTTTTAACTACATATAAGTAAACCTGTATATATATTCATGTAATTCATGATATAAGTTAAAAACAAGTGTGAAAAATTGTAATTTGTCTATGATATCTTGGAACATTCATCAGAAGACTTAATTTTGGCCTTGAAATAAGTTTTAACTGTGTACATAGAAATATAAAGAATAATGTAAAGCAAGTAAGCCAAAATGCCATTTATTAAAGAAATGAGCTACAAAATGAGTGAAAAATGGATATCTACTTTCTAGAAAAATATTTGTCTGTGTCATTTGAACAGATTTAGCCGTTTGTTTCTCTTCATACAATTTACAGTAGCAGCTAACTCTGTTTTATAGGGTTTGGTGAACTGGCCTGCTCCAATCCGCATTTGGGTATAAATCTATAATTTGTTGTTTAACAGTTTCCAAATTTTGAAACATCTGCTGGAGTTCCCATATCAAAATTTCATTTGAGAGACACACTTCTCCTTCATATGCAGTTACCTCGTTCTTGTCATAAGGTACGCTGTTGCACAGTTTTCAGGCAACTTGTTTTTGCATTGTTAAAATAATTTTTGTTTCATAATTGGCCACACTGTGTTTGTTCATGGTGTGCTGTGTAAAAACAACACAGCATGCCACGAACAAATAGGATGATACCAAGAATCTCCTTCTCAACATAGACAGGCAGCACAAGTTCAGCCCCAATCAAGAAAGACAAAAGGGGAAGGGACACGAAACTACTTGGTTTATAAATTTTAACTTAAATAACAAAGTTTTAAAAACTTTAATATACCAAGAAAACTGCTGTAGTTGTGGAAAAGGATTTTGTATATATTGTGCATTACAAACATTGTATGTATATGTATTTCAACACTCAAAACACCCATTGTGATAGTAGTTTCCAAAAAGTATCGATGTCCCTCTGATGATGGTCTATAGGGACCGAAACATGTAAGGGTGTTAAGTTTTCAAGTAGTAAAAACTTCAATAGTCACACTGGATGGAGTTGTTTTGTCTTTGTAATTTGTTAGCATGATGGACGAGAATGAAACAAATCAATCAGCAATGAGTTAGGCAGTGTGCTTTCTTAGTGAGTCAGGGAGTTAGAGTAGTAAGTTAGTTTGCAGTTCAGTGATGAGGTGCCACTGAGTGAGCACTGGCATTGTCATGAAATAATGAGTGGACAAAGAATTGACCTCACAAGCATAAGTTGTTATGGAATGTGAGACAGTAACTGTTCCATATATTACTATAACTTGGAGTACCTCTTTGCTTGGGATATTGTGTCTTGTGAATATGTAGTAGCTAAAATTTTAAAGAAGGAATACCAAATTAAGAACTCATGTAAACGCAAAAGGTAAAATTGTCCTCAATGTTTAATTAAGCACCACACTTATATAGTATATGGGGATTGAAGATATGAGCTCCACACATCATTAATCTTGGCATTAGATTTAGGTGAATGCCCCTCCCACCAAAAAATAAAGTTTGTGATGGAGATTCAAAGTCCATTCAGAATCTCTCCAACAATACTTGCATGATACTTTAACACCCTTGGCTACCATACACAATCATTCATTCATCTGTAATCTGTCAAGACAACAGGTCCACTGTCTCTTCCAAAACAGTTCCTCCACTTAATGCGATCTAGACCTTTCTCCTTCAAATGAGAATATCCTGTTCTGTCCCCAAGGTCATCCAGCATCTTCTTATGTCTTCTTCTTCGTCTTCTGGTCACTTCTATCCGCCCCTCTGTATTTCCTTCTATAACTTCTTTTAGAAGGCAGTTTCTGTGTAAAACATGACCAATCCAATTAGCCTTCCGTTTTCTTATTTCGTGTAGGATATTCCTCTGCTCACTGACTCTAATTAACACTTCTTCATTTCTCACATAATCGGTCCAACTGATCTTCTCCATCCTTCTCCAACACCACATTTCGAAACTTTCCAGATGTTTCTGATCTACTGCCCTAAGTGTCCATGTTTCAGCCCCATACAGAGCTATGCTCCAAATGTAGCATTTCACTAGTTTCTTCCTCAAATTTAAGTCCAATTTGCTGGTAAAAAGATTCTTCTTCTTGCTAAATGCAGCTTTTGCCATGGCAATCCTGGATTTAATTTCACTAGTACACCTTCCATCATCTGTTAACAAGCTACCAAAATATTTAAAACATTTCACATTCTCCAGTTGTTTTTGGTCTATCTTTATTGTGACTGGGGTTGGTTGTCTCGAAATTTTCATTACTTTTGTTTTCTCCACATTCATTTCCATGCCATAGCACCTTCCAATTTCAATTAGTCTATCAATCATGCCCTGTAGCACAGTTTCTTCCTTAGCCATTAACACAAGGTCATCTGCATATTTCACAGTTTGAATAATTTGCCCTCCTAATTTGAAGTCTCGGAGCCCATCCAGAGATTCCTTGATAAGGCATTCGCTGTACAAGTTGAACAGAATTGGTGATAAACAGCATCCTTGTTGAACTCCTCTTCCAATCTGCACACTTCTTGTCTCCCCTCTGTCCAGTCGCACTCTGACTTTCTGATCCATGTACAATTTACTAATCAATCTTATTTCATGCCATTTGATACCTGTTTCCTTTAGGATCTGCATTAATTTGGTCCAATTTACACGGTCAAATGCCTTCTGCCAGTCTATAAAGCAAGCACGCAGTTCTTCATCTATCTCCAAAGTTCGTTCTGCTATAATTCTCATCATCCCTATTGCATCCCTGGTTCCTTTTCCTCTTCTAAATCCAAACTAATCATCTCCAAGTATATCCTCTATTTTCCTTTCAATTCTTCTTTTTGCTAATATCTTTGCTGTATGTGGGTAAAATTAATAATATACATAAGGGTTATTTGTTGGATTCACAATAGGAAACTTGAAACAGAAAGGTGGTCAGATTCATAACCCTGCTGCTTTACCCTTGGGGAAACAGCCCCTACACTGCATAGGAAGTTAGGTTGGCCCCAGTCTGGATGCTGTGGAGAGGAGAAAAATCTTACCTCTAAGAGGAACTGAACCCTGAATGCTAGGTTATCCTACCTATAGACTAATTGCTACACTGACTGAGTTATCCTGGCCCATGCACAGTAAGAATATGTACCTGCAGTATGCTGGGGAAAGTTTATTAAATAAGAAGGAAAACAGTTCTTGAAGGGGGCATTTTATTCATTTACCTGGGTATACATTTTTTTGTAACAAAAATCCACCATTGCACAAAAGACAAACTATGGAGTTATTATTTGTTCCGAAAGATTTAAAAAAGAAAATCTCTCAAAGCCTACAACATACTTCGCAGGTTTGATCAGTACAACAAATAATGTACTGTAATTTTATTAATTTCTTTGCAACTTTGACCTGTTACAGGATTGATTTTTAAAAGGACTTTATTTAGGTTCAGAAGCGAGTTGATTTCTGCCTGTACCATCACAGTAAAGGAAAAGGCAACTAATAGTAGTTAGAGGCTATGCATTCTTTTTTGTCTTCCTTTTATGGGTGATTCTGCCATCATAAAGCGAGATCCCTTCTCTGTAATGATTGATTATTTTTTTGTCATTTAATGACCTTTTCAGCTGCATAGGTTATAGAGTTCCAGACAGGATGGAATGAAACATACTCATCAGTGGTGAGTAGGAATTAGACAGAAGCAGTGAGTCCCAATTTCGGGATACTACTCTGGCTTTTGCATGATGAGACTGAGGAGGAACATAATTGCCTCAAATCAGGAAAGTGGTAAACTGATTGGGATTCGAGACATTTAACTTATAATAGAAGGTTTCAGCTTTAACGTCCAGTTCTTTACTACATTGTTGGTTATGCTTAGATATAGGTAAAGTTATCCCTGTAAGAGGCCGTGGAGGCCCATAGGGCTGTGAGTGGTTGAGGCTCCCAAATTCTCTAGACAGCCAGCCTACATATGACCGTAAGACTGCCCTTTACCCCCCAGGGAGATTCGTGGTACTCATTTCTGTTAGAGGCTGAGTTGACCCAAGGGCCATAATGCAGCTGGAAGGATTAGGTAAATTGAAAAAAAATCCACGTCATTGGGACTTGAACCCATGACCTTCCACTTAGATATAGACAGATGGCAATCCAGGGGAAGAGGGGTATTTGTTTACTGACATGGACACAAGTCAGAAGCTTTATCTTTGAACACTGTTCATATGTTCATGAAACAGCTTAACGTTTTGATGGTTGGCTTCATGACTGTCTTCAGGTGGTTGGAGAAGGTATCTACTCTCTGGGACTCATTAGGTAGAACTAGTTGTAATTACTAGGAACTGAAGCAGATTTGATGCAGTACAAGAAAAGTATGTAAACCTCAGTGGGTGATAGCAGCATGAAATTAACCCCAGACTATTAGGTGCAAAAAGAAGCCATGAAAAGTACAAAACTCAGACAGCGAGTGTCCAGTGTGCAGGGAATATTTCTGTTTATCCAAAAAGCAAAAAGCACTCAAAGAAAAGAAAACCCCACCTTTGGAACCATGGAGAGTCGTAAATGGAGTTGTGTGAATTTCTTTCTTTACAGTGTATTTGAAGCAGAACTCGCTGACACAATTCCTGTGATACATGCATCAGTTGCTGGCTGTCGAATAATTGGGCGAATGTGTGTTGGTAAGTGTGTGGACCTCAACACTGTTTAAAATTTGACTGAAGTAGACATTACACATTATTTGTGTAATATACAGTAAAGGGGCATGTTGGTTGTAGTGTAAGTGCTTAATATTAAAACAATAATACCTAATCCTACCATTGAACCAAATTCTAACCCACTTTGAGCCATATCAAACCTTATTTTATGGAGATTCGTTTTAATGCTATCGTCATGTCCCTGAAGTAGTATTTCAATGTGTGAGAGATTCTTTACTAGAATTCTGTGTTTAATGTTTTTACATCTGAACTGTGTGTCCTTTGCAGTTTAAGTACCCTGACAGTATTAGAAAAAATCAATCCATGGAGTTCCTCAATATGTAATTTGCTTGATTATATCATTTTTTTCTATGTACCAGTATTTTTCTTTGCACTTTATTTTCTGAGATTTGCATTCATTTATCTTATGTTGGACCACCTCTGTGGTCTAGTGGTCAGCATTCCTGGCTACAGATCCAGAGGTCAGGCTTCGATTCCCGGAGCTACCAGATTTTTTCTGAGAAGTAGTGGGTCTGGAACGGGGTGCACTCAGCTTCTTGATGATAATTGAGGAGCTATTTAAAAGAAATAGCAACTCCTGTCTAGAAAACCGAAATTAACGGCCGTGGGGATTCGTTGCGCTGACCACGAGACACCCTCTATCCGCAAAAGTTATCACTAAACCTCACCGACAAGCAGCGGTCGCTCGGTCAGTATAGTTCACTTGCGGACTAAAATCACGGAGTTTTTGTTAGTATCTTATGTCAAGTTAAAAATACCATGACCTATAGCAGAACAAATATTAAGTAAAGCTTTGGGCATTCTTAGATGCAAGCAAGTGGTTACCTTTACGTACTGGCTGACTGTACTTCAGGGCAAGGGCCCAGGTACCCATTGTATAGGAGTCCATGTGGACCCAAGGATGGGCCAGATGCTGAAGAGAAAAATTCCAGTGCCCTTACCAAGAATTGATCCTGGCCATCTGGTACAAATCCAGTCAGATTATGAACTGGGTCCCTTGTCACCAGGGCATGATGTGTCCTGAGGATGTGGACGAAGGAAATGGCCTCAAGATATGGAAGAGTATTTAATAAGTAGCTGCAGACAGCAGACAGGGTGGTCTTTCCCCTTGGGTATTGGTATGGGGCTAATGGCTACTTCCCAAGAAAAACCTTGTTATGAAATGTTACAGATGGCCGTGGATTGGAGTTAGACACATTATTTGGAATGATGTAAGCAAAGGAAAATTGACATGGAATTTGCATGTGAAATGCAAGGGGTTTCTATATGGCACATCCATTGGCTGGAGTTGGTAAAGAATAAGTTGGAATTTGATGGAGTACAGGAGGTTGGATGGGACATGGACACATGTGGTGCTGATCCAGCAGACGATTATACATTTTTATATGGAAATGGGCATGATGATCATGTCTTAGGGACAAGATTTTGTGTACATAAGGGAATCATCGGCACTTAAGAGGTTGGAGTTTGTGGTAGAATGCCATTTATAATGCTAAGAGATTGCTGGTGTGATATCATTGTTCTTAATATGTATGCCCCAACAGATGATGAAATTGATGGTACTGTTACATGGGGGGGGACCTGTGCATACCTGTCTTTCTTCAGGAAACATCAAGGCTTGCCCCTTTCTGGATGGTTCCAGGAACTTCTGGAGTGACTGGCTATGAAACATAGTTGTGAGAGCGCAGTGTGGACAGTCTTGAGTGAAGTTATGGAGGTGAGTGAATATTGTGAGAGAGAGAGAGAGAGACATGGAGTAGAGCAAGCTGTGAATGGTGCAAGATGCAAGAAGAGGACAGAGCATTGGTGTATGAAGTAGTAGCAAGGGGGAATAAAAGGAAAGAACAAGCGGACAAAATGTGGCTGCTGACAGTGAGACATGAACGTTACAATACAAAGGACAGCTCCTGCGAGGAACTGGAGCATGTACTCAAGCAATTCCTTAAGTATCACATTAAAATTTTGTACGAGATGTCAGTGCCGAAGCAGTTAGAGAAGACGTTTTCAGACCAGTGGTTGGTAATGAAAGTACATGAAGTCAGTAATAATAATAGAATTAGAGTAATATACTTTGCCATGTCAAAAAATTTGTCAAGCATACAGTGCCACATGGTCAGTGGTTTGTCATTCCTTGTTTGTGGGGAGCATGGAATAGTAGGTCACAGGGCAGACAGAGTTCTCTCCCGAACATTAGGGTAACTGGGTTTTGGTCTGTTGGGTCATGAGTGGATGCCCTGTAGGCAAGGAGGAAGATGGACAACCTTGTGTTCCAGTCCCTCTGGTGTGACACGACTTTTCGCAGGTGTTCATTAACTGTTTTAACATACTGCCACTCCATGCCCATAGACTTCTGGTACAAGGGTGTGGTGCATGTTTTGTTCATGCCTAAGGCATTGTAGCACTCCCTGCATAAGGCAGAACTTGAAGTCATTGCCCTGGTCACTGTTTAGCTCATGTGGTTATCTAAAGTGGCAGAAGTTCACCAGGGTGTCCGCCACACTTGATGCATGTTGTTTGGGGATGGTGTAGACCTCTGGCCACTTGATGAAGTAGCCCATTGCAGTCATGAGGTATCGCTTCCTTTGGTCAATCTGAGGGAAGGGGCCTGCTAAGTTGATGGTTGTCCTCTCATATGGTGCCCCAAGGTTGTACTGGTGCATGAGGCCTGAACGTTGATTTGCAGACCACAACTGGCTGTGCAGGTGTTGCAGTGTAGGATCTCTTGTTAACATTATTTCTTGCCTGGAGTCAATTGTACTTTTGCCTGATTTTTTTTTTAATTCGCTTAGTGGGGCGTGAGTCCAACTTGATCCACTCAGCACAGCGGCCACTGGTTGGCCTATTGTAGCCTGTCCCAGGTGATTATGATGATGGAGAACTTGGTGGAATGAAGATTGGCAGCAGAAACCGAAGTACTCGGATAAAACCTGCCCCAGCGCCACTTTTTCCACCACAAATCTCACTTTACCACACTTGGGATCGAACCCAGGCTGTCATGGTGGGAAGCCAGTGACTAACCGCTTGAGATATGGTGCAGCCTTTGCCTGATCTTTGCCATCCTCTTGTTGACACCCATGTGTCCTCACGGTCCACCATGGAGTTTGGCCAGTACATCTTTTACGTTTTTCTGGGGGAGACCATATAGAATGTGGGAACCAGGCTCAGTCAATGCAGTGATCAGGCATGTGACTTTCTCATGGGTCATACGTTGTGCGTTCAAGTTCTAAGGTCTCCGTTTTTTTTTTCTCACACAATAATCATACAAAAAATTTGAAACTTCTGTCACATTTCAACGTAATCTCCCTGCAGCCGTACACATTTTTCACAACATCGACGCCATGATTCCATTGCCGCTGCGAACGCTTCTGTAGGAGTCTGTTTTGACCACTGGAAAATTGCTCATGCAATAGCTTCGTTTCAGGATTGAAAAATGGCATCCATGTCTGATCCATTGTCACAGTTGATGAAAAGAAAGTCCCATTCATGTCTTCATCACGTGTCAACATCGCCTGGCAAATTGCCATGTGCGCAGCCTTGTGGTCATCCGCCAGCATTCGTGGTACCCACCTGGAGGACACTTTCTGCATTCACAGGTCTTCATGCAGGATTTTGTGCACAGATCACACGGAAATGCCAACTTTGGAGGCGATGTTTTCGACACTCAATCGGCGATCCTCCAAAGCAACTTTCTCAACTCGCTCGACCATGTTGTCAAGACCGGCTGGTGTGAGGTCAAGATTGTTTTGGTTCGTTGTCACACGACGTTTGGCCTTCTTTGAACTGTCGCACCCATGAATACACATTTTTCACATTCATGACACCATCACCACAGGTCTCACTCAACTGGCGATGAATTTCAATGGGTGTCGCACCACGCAAGTGGAGAAAACGAATGATTACTCGCTGTTCTTGTAACGAAAACGTCGTCATTATAAGTATCAAAAACACTCCTCACCCTCTCCGCCACCACTAGAGTTCTGTGTGCCATACAGTGCTGCCATCTCTGTCACGCATTCACAAAGAGTGCACACATATTTTAAACTAAACCGCATGTGTCTATCTCCTCCCAGTCCTGAGAAAAAAAATCATAGACCTTAGAACTTGAACGCCCCTCGTACAATAGTGGTGCTCCATCACAGCCTCAGACAGTGTTGGAACATAGTTCATGATGTCAGTCAATCAAATTTATGTGACTGCATCACATCCACACCAGTTCCTGGTCCCCTGGAAGATCCAAACTCAGCTTGGACTTTTGACTTCTGCTAGCCTGGTCTTTAGTCCATGCTACATGGTTTTGTCTAGGATCTTCATTGCTTGCATGTCTGTTCAAGTCTCTAGGATCCTGAGGTTGAGGTCCTCATTAAGGTCCTTTGTTACTGCTTGTAAAAGAAGCTGCGTTTTTTTTTTTTTTAATCTTTGGTTTGAGTTTCTCACGCAGGCCCCATACCCATTGGTTGACAGATAACAGGATGTCATCCACTCAATTTCTCTTGTTCTCTTCCAGTTCAGACCTAATGGAGCTTGTTGTGCTCCCCCCGTTCCTTGGCTGGACATTACTATGGCTGTCATTTTTTTTGGCCTCATCTTGAACGACGTCCATTTTCTGTTGGTTGGCCTCTAATCTTTTCTTGAATGGCCTCCATCACTTCTTGGTTCATGTCTATCAAGGATCTAATATCTACTTGATTTGTCTTCACCTTTTCTTGACTGGCCCTTGTGGCCTTAGCATTGGCCATTACCATTTGTTGACTGGCCTGCAGCTCCTTTATTGCAGCTATTAGATTGTCCATGTCTGCCATAGTGAACTATCATGTTGGTTCAGATACAGCAAGTCCGACCAATCTCATTTTTGATGCCAGTTGTTATGTATTAGTGACTAGATATTGATTTTAGGTTGATAATTGGATTTATTGAATGCTTATACTCTAAGTCTCACTGACTTAACACACTATGTAGGTCACTAC